CAGGAGGTAGTCGACTGACCCCGTCTACTTAGCGAATCGCGCCTTCTGAATCGCGCTTTCTCTGAACTCTAATAACCTGTAGATTTGCGTATTATTTCGACTTGGTCATTTTGGAGCGATTAAAGAAAAACAGTGGCTAGTAAAGTAATTCTTTACTCAGCAAAATAAAAGTTTCTTTTCAGTTCTCAATATCTCCACAGGCCAAAGTCCCTTTCTGCACAATGCAATATGAACGTTTATTCAACAGCTGTCGCGTTCCTGGCGAAGAGGTAATGCTTGTCTGTTAGTTAGAACATCTTAAATGCAATACATTCTTTACTTGATCATACTTCGCAGTTATGATCTTAGCACCGGTCTTGAAAACCTTGAGGTTTTCTTACTCAAAAAAAGCAAAGAACTGGGAGGGGTATTCGGCGCCTGGGCCATCCGGGGTTGGGGAAATTCCTCTTAGATAGAGCTCCTCCCATATTTTCTGCTTCCCATAGTAGCCACCATGTTCTCAACTTTTCCCTGAATTTTGGCGTCGAGCGATAAGGGGGAGGGGGTAAGGAGATGGACACTTCCGTTCAGCTTTCAGCTCTCTGGAACAGTAGATCTTCGGACAACTAGAGAGCTGATCGCGCGCGTGAAAAGAGGGGATCAGCGATCAGTGGAACTTTTCTCCGGGCCATACACGACCCCTCTCTCTAGCGACCAAGCACGATCCCAGCTGAGGATCCTCAACGTATGATGTGCTGTCAAAAGTCGTGACTGTTTTTCCGACGGAATTTCGTCAATTCACAATGGCTTATACGCATTTCTCAGCGACAAGTGCACCTTCTTGCTAGACTAAGTAACTCGCTCAATAGCAAAATCATTATAATTTTTTGAAAGATTTGCAAATTATATTTTAAGTGCGACAAGTTCTTCCACTGGGATGATGCAAAACATGTAGCGGTTTATAACAGAGGCTGTTGGTTCAAGCTCATCGTACACAATGGCAAACGGTGGGTTCCGTTCACACTCATTCTTCAAGTGCTCACAGCAAAAGGAAAAGCCTTCAACGTCATTCTATTATTTGTTCCAGATATCTCGAAGCCTGTGAATTACAAGAACAGTTCGACGCAATCTTGAACCAAGAGCTTGCTCCACATCCAGCTGAGGTTTGTTTT